CGTATTATAATGGGAACGAAAAAGGTAAAAAGAGAGACTGATCAGTTCTTCATGGGCAACACTTTGGAGCAAGTTGTTCTGACTTGGCCAAGAGGACCAGCCAAAACATGATAGTTGGATAGTTTCATCATCGACATGGCGAAATCGCGGCGGAACAACTGCGGATCAGACGCGTATGCTTTCACCCACATCTCTGTCTCTTCTCTACTCGTTAGCTGCTGATCAGAATATATCAACCCTTTCTTCTGCAACAGTCTCCTGTAGTACCGTGTTCCGAAATTCTCATCGCCTCCTTCGTTGTTGTAGCTCAAGTCGATCACTCCATCATTATTGCCTCCCGACGAGCTCATACCGTAGTCGTTCTTGGAATCATCTGATGCAGGTAAGGACTGTCCTAAACCAGTGCCAAGGGATTGAGATGGAGAGGAAGCCGAGGCAGAGAATGGGCATTTGGTTTTGAGTTCTTGGAGGTACCCTGGATTCATTTCAGGGTCTGGCTTTCCGGTTCCTGAGAAGTTGTAGAGACGGTCCTCAAAGAACGTGCAGTGTGTAATGCCTATGCTGTGTGCTCCTGCATTACCAACAGTCAGACGAAAAGACTCATGTCACAAAGACTTGACCAATATAAAGAAGTGAGGAATACAAAACAGAGAAAGAAGAGAGGAGATACCGAATAAACTGACGGTTTCTTGCTCATTGAATCCTCTGGTAGCAAACCTTGCAAGAATTTCAGAGAGAGTAGCTTGTGGTGAAGGAAGCTCGCGTTCTACAAAATCCTTGAAGGCGACAACACTATCTTTCCTTCCAGTCTCAAGAGGATAAAATGGACCACCAGCCTGAGAGTTCCAAAGACATGTTCCTAAGCATTACAGTAATAGTAATACAAACCAGAAGAGAGGTATGGAGAATTACCATTAAGACGGATTCTCTAGCTGCCAAGACAAGAATGTCGGCGCAAGAAACAACTCCAGGACACTCATTCTCTAGCTCAGACTTGATTTCGTCAATCACATCAAGCCCTTTCAATGACAGATTCGGAGGTGCTTCTTTCTCTGAAGCAAAAGCTACATCTGTGTCCAGAAGGACTGATGCATCACATCCCTGTAGAACAAACACAATTCCCCCAATTGCAACTTCAATAAGTGTTCACGTAAACATGAAATTTGATTCGCAATGTATCAAATCAGAGGATCAAACACACCATTTGTAGCCAAGGTTAAGCAATTAACACAACGGAAACATGAAATTTGATCCACAATGTATGCTAACAACATCGAATCAAAGGACCAGACACACAATTTCTGCATTTTCGTAGCCAAAGATTAACAAATACACAATCGGAAATCTATAGAGTCACTAAGCAGAATTCCAGTGACAGAGATGAAATCAAATCTTACCCAAAGATACTGTTCGTGGTTTTGACAAACAATCTTCCATAGATTTATCAACAAATCAAAAGATTACCCAGATCTGAACCAAAATTTGAAGACGAGAAAGGGAAAGTAGAAGATCTGACCTCGATGAAGCAATCGTGAAAGAGGAGACGGATTAGATTCGGAGCAATGCTAGGTCTGGTCTCGTAGACGTCTCTGATAGATTTTCCGATGATTCTCTCGGCGGAAGGGCAAGAATCTCGGTAGTAATCGTAGTGGAGCGAGTAAGATTGATCGGTATCTTCTGCGGTAGAAGTGAACATGAAATCCTCGTCGAAGGGAGATGGATCGGAAAACCTAACCTCGCCGGTACGATTCACCGGTGAATATGTCCCGTCGTGAAACTCGATACGGTAAATCGGGATGTAGATGCTAAGAGCAATCACGAGGCAGGTGAACAAAGCGATCCTGTGATTTCCGAGAAAC